AGGCTGTCAATCTTCACAGAAGCAAAGCCCAAACCACACCCACTGCCGTGGAGTCCATTCTGACCCACAGCACCCCTAGAGGACAGAGTGGAACTGCCCACAGGGGCTCCAAGGCTGTCATTTTTATGGAAGTTGACTGCCTCATCATTCTCCCACAGAACGTCTGGTGAGTTTGAGCCACCAACATTTTAGTTAGCAGCCAAGGGCTTTATACGTATCCATTTCTGTAACGGAACTGGATGGAAATTGTGCGCCTGTTTTAACCGTAAGTTCTTTACGAGAGTTCATCTCAGCAGCCCGTGTGTTCCTCACAAAGCTGATCAGTAAACGGTAGTCAGGGCCGACACACGCTCTGGAACACACGCGGTGAGGATGGAACATGGGAGCAAATGCACAGAGGCCGCGTGACTGCAAATTCTCTTCAGATGAATGGAAACTCTTACTTCCCCAGATAGAGGATTTGAAATTGCTCAGTTCGAGTCCAGGTTTCTTCAGTCTGTTTTCCTGGGCTGGGATGGAAATAGAGGCAAGCAAGGTTACTTCTTGTCGGCGTGTGACTCACAGCATGCAGGGCTCCGCTCAGCATCTCCACAGCATAGCAATAGCCGCGGGAAACCACAAGGCGTGCACCCGCCCATTCGTCCAATACACAGTGAAGAAACGTGAGCAACGACCAGAAACTAACGCTTTCCCTGCTCTTGTCTGTTACCACTAAGCGGGTTTATAAGCCCAATTTCCCAGCCTCCGTTCACCTTTGGGCCGGATAATTCTGTTTTGGGGTGTGTCCTGTGCACTGTAAGGGGCTTGGCGGCATCCCAACCTCGACCCTCCCGCAGCAGCTTCCAGTTGTGAGAACCAAAAATGTCGCTGATGTTGCTGGAAGTCCCTACTGATAAAATGACAGCCAGTGACATCACTGACTTATGGAAACGCCCTCTCATTTCAGAGCCCTGGACTCACAGGGGTTAGGCGCTCAGCTGCTGACCGGAAGATTGTTGGTTTGAAGCCATCCAGTGCTCCCATAAAAATTATAACCTAGGAGACCCTAGGGGGCCCCTCTACTGTGTCCCACAGGGGCCCTGTTGTTGAACCAACTTGGCTGCAGTGGTTTCATGGGCCTGCTCATTCAATGTAGGCTTCCTTTTTCTTTTAGGGTACAGGCCCACCCTGGAGATCCTGCAGGTTTGGTTCCAACCACCACAGTAAAGCAACTATCACAATAAAGTGAGTCACACACATTTGCTGGTTTCCCAATGCATATAAAAGTCATGTTTACACGCTACTGTAGTCTGTGAAGCATGCATAGCATGATGCAAACGTTTGAAATATTGTGAGAATTCCCAAAGTGGAACACAGAGATGCAAAGTGAGCACGTGGTGTTGGAAAAATGGCGCCAACAGACTAGCTGCAGGATTGCCTCAGACCTTCCATTTGTAAAAAACACAGCGTCTGTGAAGCGCAGTAAAGTGAAGTGCAGTAAAACGAGGCGGGCCTGTGTTGGAAACTGTTACAATGCCTGCACTGATTGCCATGGAGCCTGAGCTCTCGGGGTGAGATATGGACGGCTGTCTTTTCTTGCCATCCCCTCAGCATAGGCGTGATTAGTCCTGCTCACATGATCTGTCCTCTGCTTACATTTAAAAGCAACGTGTCTGTTTTGTTGCAACGAGGCCTCCGTAGCTGTCAGCCTCAGACTCACTAATCCAGACCCCTGGAACGATGGAGACCCACCAGGTTACCACAGAACAGGAAAATGTCCAAGCTGGCCCGTGCACCCCAGCCCGTGTCTGGACCTGGCTTGATTTTGCCCTGCATTAGTACAAAACTAACTGCCTTGCAGGTGTTCACCCAGAACATGGACCTTGCTGGTTAATCGGGGAAGCAGGAACGAGTCACGATGAATAATGTGCACATTTTCTGCCCAATGACGCAGAATGATCTCGTCAGGAATTTCTCAGCGCATTTTCCATGTGAACCATGTCAAACCGCAGCAGCATGTTCACGTGCCTTCAGGGTACACAAATCAGGCCTGTTCAAAGAGGAAGTGGGGGTGGCGAGACTTGGTTTCACGTACTGTGGACACATTATCGGGAGGGACCACTCCCTGAAGGGCATAGTCACTGCCATGGAGCTGTTTCTGACTCATGGCGACCCCCACTGGGCATTGGGTTTCCAAGGCTGTCAATCTTTAGGGAGCAGACCGCCAGGTCTTTCTCCCGCACAACAGTTATTGGGTTAGAACTGCCCAGTGTTTGGTTAGCAGCCAAGTGCTTTAAACCCTGTGCCACCAGGGCTCCTTCTGGTTGTCTAGAGACGGCGTGAATAAATGAATACATAAAAATAACCAGTATTTGCTCAGTCCTAACACTTAAACTGGTAAAACTTCCGCTGAGACGCTCTAAGATTTGTCAACTGGCGCGCAGTCGTAGCGACGTGGGCGGTGGGACCCAGGTCTGGAGCTGCAGGGTCCCGAAAGTGGTTCTTGGCAAGGCAGCCGCTCTGTCTGCTTCTCAGCCCGGGTCCCCCCACCCCACCAAGGCCCACGGCCGGACTCGGTACCACGGGGCCCGGTAGGCCCGGCAGCCAGGCCACGGCCACTTTAAGGGCCGCAGGCGCGCAGGCGCGCAGGCGCGCAGCCCGTGCGCTCGTGGCGTAGCGCACGTGGAGCCATGGCGGCCGCGCTCAGGCTCCCGGGGCCGACGTCCTCCCAGGTAGGAAGCGTGGGCGAGGACAGCCGGGTACCCGGGCCCTTCCCGGGCGGGTGGCGGTGGGCCGGGCGCTCCGGGGGAGAAAGCGGACGGAAGGGCTTTACAGGGAAAGCCGAGCTCCCCTCGCAGCCGTCCACAGCCGCGGGCCGGCTATTTTCCCAAGAGCCGAGTGCCGTCGGTGCTGGGGCTGAGGCGTCGCCAGGACGTGACTGGCGGCCGCGGGGTGTCGTTTCCTAGGAAGGCGCGCTCTTCGCCTTCCGGGCCCGGTAAGACCGCGTCGCCCGCGTGCTAAGCGGCATGGCGCTCCCGGGGCCCTGGATGCGCCGCCTTCCTGCAGCCCGCGCCCCGTGCATGGCTCCCCACGCGGCAAGCCGTCCCCGGTCTCGGGTCCGGGAGCCCCGCGGCGTCTGCGGACAGCAAAGGGCCGTCCCCAGGGTCCGGCGGGCGGACGCGCCCAGCGACATGGTGGTCTCGGGCCCAGTGCCCGGCACCCGTCAGGGCTGTTGTCCCGGCGCCCCTGAGGGAGTCTTGACCCCTGACTGTCGGCTGTGAGGCGCGATGAGCAATGTGGGAACTACAGCGAGAGTAACCGGGATGCGACCCGGACGCCAAGTGAGCCCAGCGGGTGGGAAATGGCGCCTCAGACAGGCTCTGGGCCGGGCTTCGCGGACTTTCCGTTTGTGCAGCTCAGTGGGGTGCCCGCGGAGCGCGGTCAAGTGACGGCTGTCTGTCCACGAAGGGCGCTGACCCCGCCGGGACGGAAGCACCGCCCAGCCCCTGCCTCAGGAGACGGGAGGCTGGGCCGGCGGGCTGCCACCAGGGGGAGAATTCCACCAACGGGAGGGTAAGTGCGGGAGGGAAACCTGAAGTGTTCCACAGACCCCATGGCTGGCCAGGAGGGCGTCTGAAGCGGAACAGCACCGCTTTGAAGGGGGCCTGATGGCGCAGTGCTTAAGGCAGTCGGCTGCTAATCAAAGCACAGGTAGTTCCAACCCACCAGCCACTGGGAAAAGAGGAGGCAGTCAGCGGCCATAAAAACAAAATGGCAGCCTGGGAGACGCTGTGGGGCCGTTCCACTGTGTCGTCTAGGGGCGCTGTGAGTCAAAATGGACTCCAGGGCAGTGGGTGTGGTTTGGGCTTTGCTTCTGTGAAGACTGACAGCCTTGGAGACCCTGTGGGCAGTTCCACTCTGTCGTCTAGGGGCGCTGTGGGTCGGAATGGACTCCACAGCGGTGGGTGTGGTTTGGGCTTTGTTTCTGTGAAGATTGACAGCCAAGGAGACCCTGTGGGGTAGTTCCACTCTGTCCTCTAGGGGCGCTGTGGGTCTTAATGGACTCCAGACAGTGGGTGTGGTTTAGGCTTTGCTTCCATTGATTGACAGCCTTGGAGACCCTGTGGTGCAGTTCCACTCTGTCCTCTAGGGGCGCTGTGGGTCGGAATGGACTCCTTTGGGCTTTGCTTCTGTGAAGATTGACAGCCTTGGAGACCCTGTGGGGCAGTTCCACTCTGTCCTCTAGGGGCGCTGCGGGTCAGAATTGCCTTCACAGCAGTGGGATTAGGGTTTTTTTTTTTTTTTTTTTGAAGGAGACTACTTTAACAGGATTTGCCCTTTTTAACATTTAGTTACTGTTAGCTCAGCCCTGACTCGCTTCAATCCTGTACAGAACAGAAGGGAACACTGGCTGGTCTTGCACCAGCCTCTCAGTCCTTGCCATGCTTGAGCACATCATTACAGCCACTGTGTCAATCCATCTCATTGAGGGTCTTACCCTTTTTTTCCTGACTCTCTGCTCTGACCACTGCTTGTCTGTCAGTGTGTCACACTGTGGTACCTGGTGTGTTGCTGTGAGGCCAGAGGCTATGCCATGGGTATTTCAAACACTTACAGGGTCACACACAATGAACAGGTATCAGCGGGGCTTGCAGACTAACACAGCCTGGGAAAAAGGATGGGCCATTCACTTCTGAATAAACCCACTGCTGAAAACAGGAATAACTGAAACACCGTCTTTTTAAAGTAGAGGAATCCATTGAAACTAAAGAAAAAATTACCATCTTGCCGTGCAGGACTAGACAGAGCTGCACAGAGGAATTTTGAATAAAAGTTCATTATCTAGGACTCCGTGTGCGATTATGGCTTTCTACCCCTAGTGACGGGGTAGTGAAGTGCTCAGCTGCTAATGGGAAGTTGAGGTTTAATCACCCGCACTCCCAGTAGTTTGAGGGAGCAGACCTGGCAGTGTGCTGTGGTTCAGACAATGGCCGAGGAAACCGTAGGGGCAGTTCTGTCAGGTGGTGCTGCTGAGTGGGAACCCACTCCAGGGCAGTGGGTTCCGTTTGGTTTTACAAATGACCCAGTCCCGGCAGCTTGCCCCCCTCTCCAGAGAGAGTGGGTTAAGTCCCTGGACCCCGCGGGGGAAGGAGGCGGCTGACTGTGGTGGGAGCGTGGCTGCGCAGCTGCTGCTCCTGTCAGCTCCTCTCCCGGGATAGGCGGGCGTATGGTAATGAACAACTCGCTCAAACGAAGGAGTGATTTGCTGCCTCTGCACCTGCTGTTGCTAATTAAGGGCTTAGCCCTGCAGAGTGCCAATGGCAGTGTGTGCAAAACCCGGGAGACGGCCCCCCGCGGGCTCCTGAGCTTACAGAAATCAGGATGGATAAGTGGCACTGATGACGGTGACTTCGCCTTCTAAAAACTGCCCAGAGTGAAACGCTGTCAGCCGAGGTGGGCGCCCTGGTGGAGCCAAAGTGATGTGCTCCGCTGTTCACCAAGGTCGGTGGTTGGAATCCACCAGTTGCCCGAGAAATGTGGCAGCCTTGGAAACCCTGGGGGCAGTTCCACTCTGTCCTGTAGGGGCACTGGGGGGTCAGAATCAACTCTAGGACAGTGGGTGTGGTTGGGGCTTTGCTTCTGTAAAAACTGACAGCCTTGGAGACCCTGTGGGCAGTTCCACTCTGTCCTCTAGGGACGCCGTGGGTCAGAATGGACTCCACAGCAGTGGGTGTGGTTTGGGCTTTGCTCCCATAAAGACTGACAGCCTTGGAGACCCTGTGGGGCAGTTCCACTCTGTCCTCTAGGGGCGCTGTGGGTCAGAATGGACTCACGGCAGTGGGTGTGGTTTGGG